ACTGGAATGCAGTGGCATGATCACAGCTCACTGTAACCTTGAATTCCTGGGCTCAAGTGACACTCCTCCCTCATCCTCCTGAGGAGCTAGGATTATAGGTGTGTGTCACCAGGCCTGGCTAATTTTTTTAAACAAGTTTTGTAGAGACAGGGTCTCACTATTTTCAGGCTGGTCTCAAACTCTTGGTCTCAAGTGATCCTCTTGTCTCACGCTACCAAAGTGTTGGGATTATACGTGTAAGCCACCACACCCAGCCCCTGCTTTCAATTCTTTTGGATATGTAACTCGGAAGTGGAGTTCCTGGGTCATATAATTCTACGCTTAATTTCTTGAGGATATGCCATAGTTTCCCACAGCAGTTGCACCGTTTTACATCCTCACCAGCAATGCACGATGTTTCTAAACATTCTGCCACCACTTATTTAGTATGGTTTTGATAACAGCCAACCTAATAGGTGTGAAGTTGTATATCATTGTGGTTCTGATTTGCATTTCCCTAATGACTATTGATGCTGAGGATCTTTTCATGTGCTTGTCAGTCATTTGTGTATCTTCTTTGGAGAAATATCTATTTGAGTCTTCTGCCTGTTTTTAATAGCATTTTCTTTGTTGAATTGTAGGAATTTAAAAAAATATATATATATTGAATGTTAATACCTAGCCAGATATGTGATTGTGAATATTTTCTTGATTCCATGGGTTGCCCTTTTACTTTGTTCAATGTACAAAGATTTTCAACATCAATAAAGTCCAAATTATCTAGTTTTTTGTTTGCTGCCTATGCTTTTGGTGTCATACCCAAGAAATGACTGCCAAATCTAATGTCATGAAGCTGTCCCCCCCTTTTTTTTTTCCAAGAGTTTTATGGTTTTAGCTCTTGTGTATAGGTCTTTGATCCATTTTGAATTAATTTTTATATTCAGTAGGCAGAGGTCTGACTTCATTCTTTTGCAAGTGGATATCCAATTTTCCCAACACCATTCGTTGAAAAGACTATTCTCTCCCCATTGAATTGACACCCTTGTTGAAAATTATTGCATCTTATATGCAAGGGCTTATTTCTGGGCTCTTGATTCTATTCTATTTTCTTGATTTTATTTTGGATCGTTCGTTGTCATTGTATAAAAATACGACTGATTTTTGCAGCCTGATTTTGTATTCTGCAACTTTGCTGAATTCATTTATTAGTTCTCATGGTTTTGTGTGTGGCATCTTGGGTTTTCTACATATATAATCATGTCAAAAAAAAGATAGGTTTACTTCTTCCTTTCCAATTTGGATACCTTTCACTTCTTTTTATCGCCTAATTGTTCTGGCTAGAAGTTCTGATACTATGTTGAATGGAAGTGGAAAAAGTGGGCATCCCCATCTTGTTCCTGATTTTAAAGGAAAAGCTTTCAGTCTTTCACCACTGAATATGATGTAAGCTGTGGGTTTTTCACATAAGGCCTTTATCACATTAAGGTAGTTTCCTTCTTTTCCTAGTTTGTTGAGTGTTTTTAACATGAAACTTGTATTTTTACAAATGGTTTTTTCAGCATCCATTGATGCTGAAAACCCATCATCAAATGATCATATGGGTTTTTTTTTTCCCCTTCATTCTGCTACTGTGGTATATTACAATCAATGATTTATTTTCATATGTTGAACAATCCTTGTATTCTAGGGTCATGTTGTGTAATTCTTTTTAATATGCTGCTGCAATCAGTTTGCTGGTTTTTTTTTTTTTTTTTTAGCACCAACATTCATTAAGGGAAATTGGCCTGCAGTTTTGTTTTGTTTTGTTTTGTTTTTCCTGTCTTTGGTATGAGACCAATGCTGCCTTTTGTAAAATGAGTTAGGAAGTGTTGTCTTCTCTTCAATTCTTTGGAAAGATTTTGGAAATAACCAGTGTCAGTTGTTCTTTAAATACCTGGTAGAATTCATCAGTGAAGCCAACTGGTCCAGGTATTTTGTAAACAGAGAGGTTTTTTTTTTTTTTTTTTGGTGACAGGGTCTCACTCTGTTGCCCAGGCTGGAGTGCAGTGTGCACAATCAGGGCTCACTGTGTGGCCTCCTGGGCTCAAGTGATATTCCTGCCTCAGATCCCCAAGTAGCTGGGACTACAAGTGTGTGCCACCACACTTGGCTAATTTTTTGAATTTTTTAGTAGAGATAGGGTTTCGCCATATTGCCCAGGCTGCTCTTGCTGTGCTCAAGTGATCCGCCTGCTTTGGCCTCCCAAAGTGTTGGGATTACAGGCGTGAGCCACCGCACCCAGCGGAGAGGCTGTTAATTTCTGAGTCAATCTCCTTCCTAGGTATGGGTCTATTCAGATTTTCTATTTCTTTGTGATTCAGTCTCAGTAGGTTTTGTGTCTCTAAGAGTTTGTCCACTTCATCTGGGTATTCAACTTATTGGCATATAGTTGTTATGCTATACTCTTCTAGTGCTTTTCATTTCTGTGGAATTGGTACTAATGACTCCATTTTCATTAATGATTTTAGTAATTTGAGTTTCTTTTTTTCCCTTAGTCCATCTAGCTAATATTTTGTGATTTTTGTTGATCTTTTCGAAGAACCAACTTTGGCTTAGTTGATTTTCCTCTATTGTTTTTTGATTTTCTATTTCATTTATCTCTGCTCTAATTTTTATTATTTCCTTCTTTCTGCTAGCTTTGGGTTTAAGTTGTTATTCTTTTTCTAGTTTCTTAACTTATAAAGTTATAAAATGAGACTGCTGTTATGAGATTTTAAAAAATGTAATTATTTTTTAAATGTTTACAGCAATATCAGTACTGCTTTTTCTGCATACTATTAAGTTTTGGTATGTTGTATTTTTGTTTTAATTCATTTTTAAATATTTTCTAATTTCCCTTATGATTTCTTCTTTAACTTATTGGTTGTTTGAGTGAGTTTAATTTTCACATATTTGTAAATTTTCCAGTTTTCCTTCTGTTATTGATTTCAAACTTCATTCTCTTTTTGGAGAATACGCTTTGAAGAATATACTGTTTTGCAATATATTTTTTATGGCATCTATTTAAAAAAACCTAGTGAAACTTACTTTGTGGCCTAACATGCTCTATCTTGGAGAATGTCCCATGTGTACTTCAGAAGGTGTATGCTACTGTTGTTGGGTAAAGTGGGTTGCATCTAGTTGGTTTATTGTGTTGTTCAAGTTCTTACATTTTTTTGCTTACCTTTTGTGTGGCTGTTCTATCCATTATTGAATGTGGGGTACTGAATTCCTCAACTATTCTTGCATAGCTGTCTATTTTCCTCTTCAATTCTGTTCATTTTTGCTTCATCTATTTTGATAGTCTATTAAGTGCATACATGTTTATAAGTATAATATTACTGTGCAGAATTAAACCTTCTAGTAACATATATCCTTTGTCTCTTGTAAACTTTTTGTATTTAAGATAAACATTTTTGATTTAAAATTTATTTGATATTATAGCCATCATGGTTCACTTTTGGTTACTATTTGCCTGTCTTCTTCTATCCTTTCATTTTCAACTTATTTATGTCTTTGGATCTAAAATGAATCTCATGTAGACAGCATATAGCTGGATCATGCCTTCCTATCCAGTCTATTAATCTCTGTCTCTTTGATTGGAAAGTTTAATCCATTTACACTTAATTATTGACAAAAAGGGAATTCTACCATTTTGTTAAGGGTTTTCCATATGCCTTATAGCTTTTTAACTCCTCATTTCCTGCATTACTGTCTTCATTTGTTCTTAAATTTTTTAGTGAAATATTTTAATTCCCTCTCATTTTTTTGTGTGTGTGTACATCCTGTGTCTATTTTCCTTGTGGCCACTATGAAGATTACATTTAACATCCTAAAGTAATAATTTGAATTTATACCAGTTTAACTTCAACAGCATACAAAAATTCTCCTCTTATACTGCTCTGTCCTCACCCCTTTCAGTTACTGATGTCGTAAATTACGTCTTTACATATTGTATGCCCCAAATCATAGACTGATTTTTTAAATGCATGTCTGAGGACACGTTGAATGTAGTTCTTATCTTTCTTCCTCTATAGATACGGAGTTTTTTTTTCCCTCTGGACTCTATCATGATTTTTTCTTCATTTTTGATTTTCTCTAGTTTGAATATGGCATGTCTAGGTATAGTTGTTTTTGTGGCATCTGACATTAATTTGGGGAAATTCTCGGTCATTGTTGCAAATATTTCTTCTGTTTCTCTCTTTCTTCTCTTTTGGGTATTCACATTATGTAAATGTTTTACCTTTTAGAGTTGTCTCAAAATTCTTTGATACTCTGTTCTGTTTTGTTTCTCAGCCCTTGTTCTCTTTGCTTTTCAGTTTTGGAGGTATGCAGTGAGAGATCATCATGCTCAGTTTTTTTTATCCTCAGCTGTGTTCATTCTACTAATAAGTCCATCAAAGGCACTGTTTATGTCTGTTACAGTGTTTTTGATCTCTAGCATTTATTTTGGATTCTTAGGAGTTTCATCTCTTTGCTTATGGTACCCATCTGTTCTTGCATGGTACCTACTTCATCCATTGGAGCACTTAGCATATTAATCACAATGATTTTTAAATTCCCAGTCTGATAATTCCAGCATTCCTGCCATGTCTACTTCTGATGCTTGCTTTGTCTCTTCAAATTGTATTTTTTTCCCATTTGATATGCCTTGTAATTTTTCTTCATAGCCAAACATTCCAGGTAAAAGGAACTGCTGTAGACAGGCCTCCAGTAATATGGTGGGGATGTGTGGGGGTGGAGAAGTATGCTATAGTCCTATGGTTAAGTCTTGGTCTTTTCATATTTTGAGATGGAGTCTTGCTCTGTCACCAGGCTGGAGTGCAGTGGTTCGATCTTGGCTCATTGCAACCTCCACCTCCCAGGTGCGATTCTCCTGCCTCAGCTGGGACTATAGACATGTGGCACCATGCCCGGCTAATTTTTTGTACTTTTAGTAGAGATGAGGTTTCACTGTGTTAGGCAGAATGGTCTCGATCTCCTGACTTCATGATCCACTTGCCTTGGCCTCCCAAAGTACTGGGATTATAGGTGTGAGCAACCATGCCCGGCCAGGTCTCAGTCTTTTAGTGAGCCTTTTGTGAGCTTCACGAGTTTTTCTCAATTTTTCCTCCCCTGTTACATGGGAGATGACGGCTAGAGTGAGCTGAACTTGGGTATTTCCCTTCCTCTAGGTAAGTTAGTATTTGATTATACTCCAGCAGGGTAGGCTCAGGTTAAGTAGTTTCTCCTGGGGTTAGGGTTCATTAAGAAGAACAGAGTGCTCTGGTGTGTTTCACAATAGTTCCCTTTTCCCTTCCCTGCTGAAACATGAGGGAATTTTCCTCTAATATTTACTGTGAGAACCTGGTTGTTCTGAAGGACTTATTCCACAGGTCCCTTAGGTTCCATTGAGTTTTCACAAAAGTATAGCGGCTCCCCTGTAACTGAGTTTCCCTGAAGTTTTTAACTCTCATAGTTGTCTGCACTGAACCTCTAGCAATTTGTCAATTATAGTTTAGATTTGCCTACCTGACAGTTTCCCATGCTTATTAGTGTTCATGAGTCTGCTCTGGTAAGCCCGTTTCTCCCTCACTCATCCATCTTGAATCCCCATAATGTGTATGCTGGTCTGCTTAATGGTGTTCCATAGGAGTGTTAGGCTCTGTTCAGTTTTCTTCCACCTTTTTTGTTTCTGTTCCTCAGATTTGTTAATTTCAAGTGTTGTGTCTTTAAGTTTGCTGATTCTTTTTTCTGCCTGCTGAAAACAGCTTTTGAATCCCTCTAATGATTTTTTTCCAGCAATTGTACTTGTCAACTCATTTCTTCATTATTCTTTTTTATCTTCTTTATTTTTTTAAAGGATACATGTTTTTCATACATGATTCACTGGAACTGCTGCAGGATGCTCATCATGACTTAGAACTCCTGAGTACATTGTCATGATGAACACGTGCAGAGAGATTTACTAGCATACAATATGAATCTTCACACTCATGGGGAAAAAGTATTTTCTAGCCTGGACTGAATATATATGTAAGTGTTTTTATAGCTGCCCTCTGTAAATAATCTCAGGGTGGCCTGTTGCTGTCTAATGCTACAAAAAGGGAGGGCTGTTAATAGTGGCCACTTCCTCCTGCATACAGTAGAGAGAAGCCTGATTATAGATGGTGCCATCATGGCCTTAAAAGATGATATTAAACTGAGAAGTCATTTTAGCTGCCTGATTGACTATTTTTTATGTTTTTTAATACATTTACTGATATTTACTTTTGCTCACACATCATTATCTTGGCACTGTCAATATCTTCCTTTAGTTCTGTGAGATATCTTTAAGACAGTTGTTTTAAAGCCTTTGTCTAGTAAGTTCACCATTTCATCTTCCTCATGGATTTTTGTCAATTTATGTTTTCATTTGAATGGATCATACTTTTTCTTGGCTTTGTCATTTTATTTTGAACTCTGAATATTTGAATTTTATAATACAGTATTCTGGAAATCAATTTCTCTCCCTTCCCTATGGTTTGCTTTGTTTTTATTTTTATTTTTTTTTAATTGTTATAAGGTGTTCTGTGTAAAAGATAAGCCTGAGGTATAAACTTAAGGCCTTTCTCTTTTTCTCAGCCTGCCTTTTCCTCTGGGCATGCATAGTGACTTTCTAAATTCCCCTATATATGTAGCTGTTTTTGAATGTTCTAATTCTATAATCTCTGGGTCCCAAAAGAGAAGAAGAAAAATGTAGGCGAAAATGTAGGTACTGTCCTTATAAATCCCTTGAAGATACTTCAGCCAGTGTGGGTTGCAACAATGGCATCCTGTCTTTACCTCTGCACTTCTACAACCCAAAGCAGTAATCCACAAACAGAACCTGGATCCCCAATATTTGGAGGATAAGGTCCTTAATTGCCCATTCTGTCTTCCACAAGCTGTCGTATAAACTCTAGTACCTGCTAGCTGGAGCACTGGAAAATGGTTGGCTAGTAGCACACTAGGTTAAAACTGACCCAGATTAACCACAATCTACTAGTCAAGCCTTTTCCAGTAAGCTGTAAACATTTGAATAGACTACAAAGTTCCAAAATAGTTATATCAGAGAGATCCTGCCAGTTCAATGGTTGTCCAGATGGAGAAACAGATTCCTGATACATACTACTCTGCGCCATCTTCTGCTCCCCTATAGACTTTCATAAGCTAAGTATATTTGGTGTGGGTTAAAAAAATAGAAACTCTTCAAGATGATTGTACTGTTACTTTAAATGACCCATGTTACTTTAATATTATCTAAATAATACTAAGAATAATTTGATTCATGTCTATAAAAAATAAGTGTTGTGTTTTTATTTCCTGAAATTTTTCTTTTAACCAATATTAGTTATAAAACCATTTTTGGCAGCAAATGGAAAGTGTTATCTCCTCCCTAGAATCTGTGCATGTGTTTATTACAGCTACAGAATTGAAAGATGAGTCATTGAAGATTACAATGGTAAATCTCTTTATACTAAAATGGAAAACTGGCAATCAATTTCTCTTTCTATGAATTAGATATTTCTTATTTTATACACACACACACACAGACGTGTGAGTAAATCTTTAAAGGACCTCATAACATTTCTATGAGCTATGTATTATCCCTATAAAACTAAGTAGAGATCATAAATCAAATTAATGACAAAACTGAGAATAAAATTCATGACAAATCATTCTTCAGTGTATAACCACAGTGGTTGATCTGTTATTTTTAATGAAATTTAGGGGGAAAAAAGGGTATTTGATCTTTTAAAAAAAACAAGTAGGGAATAAATTATAAGTTTAGGGAGATTAAATGCTACTATTTTGTGGGTAGTTTAGTTAACTACTGGAACAAGATGTGCCAAACCTTGTAAAGTAACAAGGTAACACTACTAGTAAATGCTAGTAAATATGAAGTCAGAGATCTGATATTAAAGTTACAACACTTGTTCTTTGGTATCAGCCAAGATGGAGAAAGTAACCATAGCTTCTCTCTCCTACTGATTGTTTACAGAGTACACAGTGATTACCTGATGACACTGAATGTAAAATAATAGCAGGCAGATTTGGGACTGAAGTCAGAGCTTGAATAACAGCTCTTAATGGGGCTAGGCCTAATTGTGGAGCTGCAATACTATAATGATGACAGTGTTAGCACCCGAAGCCCAGAGAGAAGACCTACCTATCTCTTTGGCTAATGGAAACAAAAAAAAGAGCCGATATTGTCTAAAGAACTGAGGTAAGAGGAATATCTTTCTCTCTTTTTTTCTTTTCTTTGTTCTTTGTCCCAAAGGTCAGTTGTGTACAACTACATAATTGCAAAGGGAGTTAATACTCTGTAAGAAACCTCTTCTGGTCAGAGTAACTGGGAATGGGGTCCCCTGGAATCTGGGGAGTGGGGGGGAAATTCTTGGAAAGAAGACAGCTAAAGAAGGTGGATTCTCTAATTTTGTATGTGAACTGACCCAAGTTCCAGGGTCACCCCTGAGCTGTGAATACGTGGGACAGTATAAAAGAAGTACAAGAAAAGCTTTTAAAACATAAACATAGTATATACTGCTGCCCAAGTCTCAAACTAACTCCTAAATGGTTCATGTACTGGGCAGACACTAACAATATAGCAAAGGCTGAGCCACTACCCACAGAAAGTGAGACAGAATTTACAGTCTAAACCCAATCAGATCAATTGCTAAAACTAACTAAATTAAAATTCCCCAGAGGATTTTAACAGGAGTTAAATAATTTACTTACAATGTAGTGTTCAGAATGTCCAGGATACAATCCAAAATTTCTCAACATAGAACAAGGAAAATTTGACCAGTTCTCATTGGAAAAGAAATCAACCGATGTCAACTCCAAGGTAAGCCAGATATTGAAATTGTCAGAAGAATAATTTTAGGCAGTTATTATAACTATTCTCCATGACATAAAGGGCAATAATTTTGAAATAAATGTAAAAATACAAGTTCTTAGCAGAGAAATTGGAAACCATTAACAAAAAAACCAAATGGAGAATTTAGAACTGAAAATATATCCGAAATAAAAGCCACTAGATATGCTCAAAGGCAGAATGAAGATGAAAGAGGGCAAAAGTCAGCTAATTTGAAGATAGATCATAGAAATAACCTAAAATTAATACAGAGTAAAAAAGATTTGTGAGACACTACCAAAAAATCTAAAATTCATGTTATAGAAGCAGCAAAAAAAAAAAAAAAAAAAAAAAAAGTAAATATCCCAAATTTGGTAAAAGACATAAATTTACAGAATCATAAAGTTCACTGAACCCAGAAGGATAATCTAAAAGAAAATTACACCCAGATACATCATAATCAAATTGCTGAAACTAAAGCTGAAGAAAAAATATTTTCGAAGCAGCCAGGGAAATTTGCCATTACACATAAGGAAAGAGCAATTTGAACTGATTGCTCATTTCTTTTCAGGAACCATGGAGCAAAAGATAGTCGAATAATATTTTATTTTACTTTTTTTTAAATGCTGAAATAAAAGAACAGTCAACCCAGATTTCTGTATCTAGTGAAAATATCCTTCAGGAGTAATATGGAGATAAAGACATTTCCTAATGAAGAAAAGCTAAGAAAAGGTTTCACCAACAGACCTGCTCTAAAAACAAAAACTCAAACAACAACAACCATGATCATCACTTAACAGTTACTATGAGTCAGTTTTCTAAGTGCTTTACATAGATTAATTCACTTTATCTGAGAAATTTGGTACTATTAACATACCATCTCACACCAGTTAGAATGGCGATCATTAAAAAGTCAGGAAACAACAGGTGCTGGAGAGGATGTGGAGAAATAGGAACACTTTTACACTGTTGGTGGGATTGTAAACTAGTTCAACCATTATGGAAAACAGTATGGCGATTCCTCAAGGATCTAGAAGTAGATGTACCATATGACCCAGCCATCCCATTACTGGGTATATACCCAAAGGATTATAAATTATGCTGCTATAAAGACACATGCACACGTATGTTTATTGCAGCACTATTCACAATAGCAAAGACTTGGAATCAACCCAAATGTCCATCAGTGACAGATTGGATTAAGAAAATGTGGCACATATACACCATGGAATACTATGCAGCCATAAAAAAGGATGAATTTGTATCCTTTGTAGGGACATGGATGCAGCTGGAAACCATCATTCTTAGCAAACTATCACAAGAACAGAAAACCAAACACCGCATGTTCTCACTCATAGGTGGGAACTGAACAATGAGATCACTTGGACTCAGGAAGGGGAACATCACACACCGGGACCTATCATGGGGAGGGGGGAGGGGGGAGGGACTGCATTGGGAGTTATACCTGATGTAAATGACGAGTTGATGGGTGCAGCACAGCAACATGGCACAAGTATACATATGTAACAAACCTGCACGTTATGCACATGTACCCTACAACTTAAAGTATAATAATAATAAATAAATTAAAAAAAAAAACAAAACAAAAAAAACATCCTTATTATATAGATGAGAAAACGAAAACAAAAAAGGCATTAACATAGTAGAACACAAGCAATCTGTCTTCAGAGATGATGCTCTTAACCATTACTTCATAATATCTCCCAACTTACTTATATAAAAAATTTGGAGGATATTAAGTTGTCCAAATAGTAGGGAACCATTTCAAACATATGCAATGATTTAAACATTTATTTTTATTTAATGCTGCTCTCTAGACATAAAAATAGGAAAGTAAGGCACCAACTTGATGCATTAATTTACCTGAAAAAACCATGCTATAGAACTATGGTAAAACACTGATTTATCCATAGTAACCACAACAATAAATATTTTTCGAGTACTTACTACGTGTCAGAATTTGTTTTAGGTAAAAAAGAATAAGATAAAGCTCCTGTCTTTAGGAAGTTTCTACTAACTAGGTGATACAGACAAGCAAATAATTAATTACAATATACTATGACATGTTCCATAGTAGAAGCATGTACAAAGCCAAAAGTGCATACAGAATAGAAAGGCTGTAGAAAGGAAACACCAATCTAATCATGGCTATTATAAAAATAATGATTTTAAAAATGGCTTTGAGAAGCACAAAAATGAACATTCAGGGAAATATCCCCTTTTCTATAACTAATATAAACTACTATGTCTGTTCCAAAGTATGTAAATGTATTCTCAGTTAAATCAGCAATGCACAGACAGAAAAGCCAGAAGGTGCGCCCATGCTGTTTATATGTATTAATTTTCAAAGCTTTCAGGATAAAGATGAACAACTTATTCCAAAGTAATTAGAATCAGCTCCTGATAATTAATTTTCCACTCACTCAGCAGTCCAGTGCTTGGTAATTATGAGGATACAAAAGGGAGAAAAAAATTAATTCAGAAAAACCTTTCAATATAACAAAAAGTGGTATTTCTATACTGGATCAAGAAAGCTATATTTAATTTGAAGAATTATCTTAACAGTTGCAAAGAAAAATTTCTCCATTTAAACTGTGGGATCCTTAAGGGGAGGACCATTTCTTATTTTTCTTTCTAACCTTAGAATCCCTAATGCTTAATATGGGACTTGGCAAATAAGCATATTACTATGTTTACCAAATTAAAATTTTATTACAAAAGAATTAGCAAGAGAATGAAGTTTAATTCTTTCTTGATGTTATTGCCTGTATACAAGAAAGAGTTCTTTTATGTTTGAAAACTACTTAATTCCATAGGAAAAACGGGATCCCCTGAACTCATTGGTGTAGGTAATATAAGTAATGGTTAAAAAAGGAACACTATGAAAGAATCAACTGGTGTTCCTTAAAGGCCAGCACAAACTTTAGCTTTAGTCTCTATCATGGTATCTTAATTCTTTATTTGCTTTTACTAAAATTAAATGTTATAGTACATGTGACAGCAAAGAGAATATAGTAACTAATGACCCATTCATAATCTCCTGTATCTGTGCTTCAAGTGGCTGCCACTGATGGGATATAAACTGTCTATGTAACAGAAAGAACATTACAACTCATATTCCATACTAGTCAATGGACACATTTAATTTTATATTCATACTGCACATAGGATACATAAATGGCTATCAATTATGAAACCCTGAAACTATACAGTTGCTATATATTTTTAGCTTGCTCTGAGATCAACTATTAATTAATGCTCATTAAATCAACAGATTCTAAGTTGACACTTCTAACTTAAATGATGTAATTGTCCTCATTTAGGGGATTTAAACCTAAGAGTTGCTAAAATAGTGGCAAATAATTACTATTAAATTGAGGATAGATATCAACATCTGTGTCAACAAAGGCATAGTTTTAGGTAGACTAATTTAATATAATAATAGTATATCATTAATGTAATATAATAACTTAAATATACCCAGTTGCCAAATGTTAAAAGATTAACAATATGAATTGAGCTTTTTTTTTCACAACAGCACATCAACATGCCTATTTATAAATTGGAATATAAGCTCCTAACTTGTGAGAATGAGTTACTTTAATAAACTTGGCAGTTTAGTTTTATTAAATTAGTATTTACCTACAATTAATGGATATCAACTGATGATTATAAACAATCACAGAAAACAGTAACTTTACATAGTAATAAACTGGATTCCCTGGGTTAGGAATTGATAACTTCTACCAGTAGTAATATAACAGTCTCTGAAAGTTTAACTTAATAGGCAAAAAAAAAAAAAAAAAACCAAAAAACAAAACAACAACAACAAAAAGAAGTGAAGTGGGAAAATTGTGGCTACAGAATACTAAAGCTCTTAACCCTGGAAAAACAAGGGCTAAACTTAAGTGTTAAGACTGAAGTTTCTTAGGTTTATCAATATAGTGTATTGATTAGTGGTATGGAATTAACTTTCTCTGCAACAGGTTGGTGACTTTCTTACCTAGAGAGCATGCCCAGAGGTGTAACATTAAGTGATCCCATCAGCATTGCCAGGGCCATCCCTGGTGCTTCCCGTTCTATTACTTCTTTTGTGGCCTGTAATTAAAGATTAAATAGCAGACTGAGTGAAATAAGCCAAAAAAGAATGAAGTCAGACTAGTAAAACCCTCTTAAAAATGATTATAAACCAGGCTTTCAATAACCATACTTTTAGTTTCTGAAACATTTATCTTTTTGAGGCATCCAGACTCAATTCACAAGGACCACTGAATAAAAGCTGAGGATCAAGAAAATAAAGAAAATTTTTATATTAGCAGTCCTTTCATATTGCTTATAGCTCAGAAGTATTTGATAGAAATCTCATCTCACTAATAACCTAAATTCTAAAAATGAAGCTTCAGATGGCTATAACAAATTAGTAGATTTTTCACTGGGTAAGTAATCTCGGTATTTTCCTTTGTCTATTACTCTTGAAATACGTAGTCCCTGAAAACCGGAGATAATCCATATCTCTCCCAGCTCTATGCTTTTAAAATACGATTAAAAGGATCTCAAGAAGTCATTATGTCAACCTTCCCCATGTACCGGCTAGAGGAAAAATTCTACATTTACATCTTCCGAATCTTTAATATAAATTAATTGTCTTTTTTTTTTTTTTCCAGATTTCTCCCCTTTTTTTTAAATTATACTTTAAGCTCTGGGGTACATGTGCAGAATGTGCAGGTTTGTTAACCTAGGTATACACGTGGCATGGTGGTTTGCTGCACCCATCAACCCATCTATATTAGGTATTTCTCCTAATGCCATCTCTCCCCTAACCCTCCACCCCCTGACAGGCCCTGGTGTGTGATGTTCCCCTCTGTGTGTCCATGTGTTCTCATTGTTCCAATCCCACTTATGAGTGAGAACATGCGGTGTTTCATTTTGTGTTCCTGTGTTCGTTTGCTGAGAATCATGGTTTCCAGCTT